CCAGAGCACCCAGCCTCCATCTTTAATTTCTTGTGTATGGTAGCACAGCAAACTTGTAGGAATTAGTATCAATAGTAAATTTTGGGTTTTCTAGACTGTTGCATTTTGTTTTTTTAAAAAAAAATTTTGTAATAAAATTATGTATATTATTTCTGTTGTCTTTGTCTTAATATGCTAAATTAGCTTTCACTTTAAAAATACTTAGTGTCTGGAACCCTGTCAACTTTTTTGTATTTCTTCCTCATCGTTCTTACACACACCTGAGTTAGTATAGTGTTTGGTTAAAAGAAAGTCAGATATACCCAAATCATATCTACAAAGTGTTCTTTAAAAATCAGATCTGGAATTTAAAGAACTTGAAAATTGTATGCAGTTTATAAAATGGTTTTTTGTGGGTTTTTTTTTGACATTTCTATTCTTTTATTAGCTAATTTGTCCACAACTCCGGGTTATTTTTTTAAGTTTATCTTGAATTATATGAAGCAGAGGAACTAGTACAGTGAATCTGTACCTATAAACAAATTTAGAAGCATTAGTAAAAGTTTTACATTTTCTGATCTTGAACTATTCAAGGTAGAATACCTGGATGAATTCTGAGTTAAATCTTTTAGAAATTAGTGTGGTCTTAAGCTTTAGAATTCTGGGTAACCCAAGAAAGCAATTGATAATGAATATTGTGATCTAACAAATTTGACTAAATCTCACTAGGATTTATACACGAAAAAGATTTTTGAGAAATGCTCATTTGAGGAAGCAGTTTATATTTGAATTTAGGTATTTTGAATAGTTATCAGGCTATTTAGAGTTGACCGTCTGTTGGCTAAATGTTAATAGTTTTATAGCTAAGCCTGACAATCTTAGTTTCCTATCAAGTTTTAAAATAGAAGCCAAAATTCATACCCAACCATGGGAGCCTTGGTTGTCATGCCATATGTGGAATAAATATTTGGTAGGGATTTCATAAAATACTAAAGTTTTAATTAGAAGTGAGACATTAGTATAATGACCAGAGCAAATGGACTCACGTAAAATCAAATCTCTTTATAATTGCCCGATACTAATCCTAGTGGTTACAGATTTAAATGTGGAATTGTGATCATAGAATGAAATCTAATTTTCTATTTTAAATATTTTCTCTTGTTAGGTGACTTAACACTAAAAAATTGCTAATACTGTATATTTTTAGAGACATCCCTAGGTCTGGATCCCAGTTCTATCAAATAGCTGCATGAACTTTACCTCTGAGCTTGCTTCTCCCCATTTGTAATTTGGGATTAATGCCTAGTTCACAGTGTTTTAAGGATTAAATGAGAATGTTACAACGGTTTTTTTTTGTTTTGCTTTTTTTTAAACTAATACATAGAAATGTTTAGGAGTTTTAAAAATTGAACTACAGTAAAAGTCTTGTTTCCTTAATGATTTCTAAATTTATAATTAGGTCAATGAGTCAGATTTATCAGGTTCCTCGTTACCTTTTTTTTGTTACCTTTCTTTTGAGCTTTTGTGCCTGCTTTCATTCTGTCCTTTATATAAAATACGTTTCCAAGCTAAGAATGACTTGATCAAGAGCTCCAAAATAAGCTCAGGGTTTCAAATGAATCATGTTTGGTATTTTGTAAGGATGGATCAAAATTTTAAATCCCTCTAAGATTAGATCAGTAAGTTTCCAAGATTAGGTGACTTCAAGGAGTTATATTGGAAAGTACTGAAATAGTAAAAAGAATGAGGTTCTATCCCAGACCAGTGTGTACTTGGGAGGTATGTTATGAAGACCCCTTTTTCCCTTTTATTGAATAGGTAATACCGTAATGGTACAAAATGTGAAAGGGCCATATATTGAATATCCTTGATTACCAGCTACATGATTCTCCCAGAAGGCAATCCCAATAATGCAATAATACATCGTTTAACATAATAGGTCTGTATGTTAATATTCCATAAATTGAAGCTTACTATATACACTGAGTGGACAGATAATTATCACCACCTGACGTTTGTAGGCAAATTAGCTATAATTTCATGCTGAAGTTGCTAGAGGGCCAGACCATTATAAATAGGGAAGCAGGTCGTTTACCACGACAGTAGAAGTGATTTTTTTTCTGGAAATAGGGGTGAACAATGCGATTTAACAGCCTTTGAATGTGGGATATATTTAAACGTGAGTGGCCAGATTATGACCACCCCGTCAGTACTTCGTTGGGCCCACATTTTGCCTTCAATACTGCGGCGATTCTTCTTGGCATTGACTCCATGAGATGTTGAAAGGTGAGCGAGGAATCTGACACCATGCCTGATGAACAGCACTGTCCAGTTCTGAGAGATTTGATGGTTGTGGAACCAGCTGCCTGATGGCTCCTTTAACTTCGTCCCACAAATGCTCAATTGGATTGAGATCTGGTGATTGTGGGGGACACCCAAGCAAGGTAAAGTCTCCCTCATGTTCTTGAAACCACTCCTGCGCAATACAAGCACCATGGTGTGGCGTATTGTCATGTTGGAAGAAGACATCTCCATTGGGATACGCCATCAACATGATAGGATGAACTTGATCAGCAACGATACTAAGGTATGTTGTGCTATTCAGAA